TTTTTTTTTTTTTTTCTTTTAATAATTTGATTGTTTTTTTTTACCAAGAGCAACTTCTAATTAATGTAGAATTAATTTTGGAATACAATAGCCAATTTGGATCAATTTATTTTTGCTATTTTGTGCTAAATTAGGCTCGTTTCCTTGCTCTGTTGCTATTATTTTGAACAGGTACATTGGAAGTAAATTAGTAGGCCTCTTCATTGACCATTAAGCCTAATTCTTGTTAAGAAAATACCTAATTTCTTTGTCTCAAAAAGATTATATTAATTTTAATTATATTGTATTAATAATTAAAAGCATCTGGCTTACTTAATTAAGCCTTTATAGTTTTTATTGTCAATGACGGTAGTTAAAAATATTCATATTCTTTCTAATTTTGGGGATGAGATACTAAGTAGGTCACTAGGATTGAATGCCAGGCCTAGATCAATATGTAGGGATGAGCAAGTAGGCTGGTTGGATTTGTGGGATAATTTTAATGTGAAAATTAATCTTCTTGGAATGGATGGTTTACACTTAAACAAGGCTGGGGCTAGCATGTTAGCAATGGCTATTAACTCAGCTGTAGTGGTAGATTTAAACCAGGGCTAGATAGAGGTGAGGGCTATGATATTAGTAAAATAGGAAATATAATCGACAGGATAACGTGTACAACAGGTATAAAACATGAATGTATTTTAAAATCTATGATTAATTGTTACTATTTTAATGATAGGAGTATTAGAAATAAAACTGATGAGTTCAAAGCAGTGGTGGAAACTGAGGATTTTGATATTATGGGTACCACTGAGACTTAGTTGGCTTTGAACAATGTTGATGAGAGAAATTTTTTGAAATACCAGGCTACAGATTATTTATCAGAGACAGAGTACTGAAAAAGGGGGAGGAGTAGCTCTATATATGTGAGGAGTGATTGCACCCTGTTGCGTTAGAGCACATTAAAGAAAATAGCACTGATGTTGAATCAGTTTGGGTTAGTGTTAATGGATTTAAAGGGAAAAGTCTTGTAATTGGGATTTGTTATAGACCACTGGTCAGAATGTGGAAGTTAGTGAGAAACTGTATAATGAAATCAGAATGCTAGCTGGAAAAGATGTTGTTATTATGGGAGATTTTAATTTTAGGGGTATTGATTGGGAAAATTTTGAGTCTGACAGTGAGAGGGATAGGTTTTTGGAAATTGTTTTTCTACTTTTATACACCAACTGGTGATGGAACCTACAGAAGAGGAAGCTATATTAGATTTAATATTAGCATCCAATTTGAATATGATAGACAAGAGTTGTGGTTGGTGAGCATTTAAGTACAAGCAACCATTGCACTATTGGGTGTTGGATTTTACTACGTGTAAAATTTCAAATTTCAGGAAAGCAAATTTTGATGGAATGAGACATGTAGATTGTAGATTGGACTAAAGCATTGGGAGGAGATCTTGAACAGATGTGGGAAACTTTGAGGAAAAAATGTATATGAATACATAACATACATATTCCCCTACAGAAAAAAAGGGCAACAAAGTGGAATAAGCCAATATATTTAGAAAAGGTTTAAGAGATCATATTAGGGATGAACATAACAAGAAATTTAAACTTACTGGAAATAATAAGGACTTGAAGAATTATAGGAAATCAAGAGTGCTGGTTAAAAAGGAATTTAAAAGGGCAAAAACTGTATATGAAACAGAGTTGGCTGATTTATCAAATAATAAGAAATTCTTTAGGCATACTATGGGTAAGCAAAACATTAGGATGGGGATTGGGCCTCTTAAAATTGATAGTGGGGAGCTGATCTCGAAAGATTATGAGATAGTAAACTTATTAAATTATATCTTCTCTTCAGTCTTTCCAAAGGAAGATACAACTGTTATGCCTCAACCAGAGAACTTAATGTATGGGGAAAATATTGATGTAAAAGATATCATTTTAAGTTCCAAAATTGTAGGAGAAATATTGGGAAACCTAAAAATTCATAATTCCCCTGGACCAGACAACTTTTACTCTAGAGTTTTAAAGGAACTTAAAGATTTTATTTGTGAACCACCAGCTAATATTTTTGATAGGTCATTGAGTAGTGGAAGAATATCAGAAGATTGGAAGTTGGCTAATGTTAGTCCAATATTTAAAGAAGGTGATAAACATTGACCAGGCAATTATAGGCCAGTTAGTCTTACATCAATAGTT